GGGGGGGGGGGGGGGGTAGGGGGGGAGGCCTGAGCCCCGAGCGAGCTCGAGCACGTCCCGCGCCGCCGGGTCCCCGCCTTCGGCCGCCCCTCGGCCCCCAGATCTCGCCCGGCAGTCAGGGTTCGACTCCCTCGCCGGTAGGGTACCGCATCCTGCACCGCGACATCAAGCCGGGCAACATCGGGCTCGCTGCCGGCGGGTGAGCGTGTGTGGAGCACCCCCCCTGTATGACCCTATGGAGCACCTGTGGTACGGAACACCTCCATGTCTCTGTACGAAGCGCCTCCCTGCATATGAAGCGCCTCCCTGTGGAACACACCCATGCACGGAGCACGGAGCACCCCCGTATCCATGCATCGAGCACCCCCCTGCACATGTACATGTAGCGCCTATGGAACACCTCCCTGTCTCTGTACGAGGCGCCTGTGGAACACTCCCTCCCGGCCGACTGTGGCTGCCTCCCTCTCCACCTCCCTCCACCTCCCGGCTGACTGTGGCTGCCTCCCTCTCCGCCTCCCTCCCCCGCCCAGCTAACTGTGGCTGGCTCTGTGCGAAGGCGCGTCGTCCTCGCCGACTTCGGGCGCCGCCTTTCAGCTAAAGGGGAAGAGGCCCCCCGAGATGCCCCCGAGATGACCCGAGATTGCCCCCCCCCTCCCCCCCCCCCCCCCCCGCATGGCGTAGGCTGCTCAAGCTGTGGAAGAGGGGCGGCGAGGCAGAGGACACGCCGCGCGCACTCACCGGCATGACGGGCGCGCTGAGGTACATGGCGCCGGAGGTTGGCTCTCTCTAGACACTTGCGAGACACCTCCCAGACACCTCCCAGACACCTCCGAGACACCTCCGAGATACACCTCCTCGGCTAGCTCGAGGCGCCCGAGGTTTGTCGCTTCTCTCTCTGCGTCGAGGCTGAGGCAGAATGGTGACTGGCTGCCCCGAGATATGGGGAGATATGGGGAGATACGGGGAGATATGGGGAGATGCGGAGGCAGATGGTGACCGGCTGCTCCTTGCGTCGCCACAGGTCGCCCTCTCGCAGCCTTACAACCACAAGGCCATCTTCTCCTCCTCCTCCTCCTCATCCCTCTCTCGCGGACGGATAGATTCACTCCCTCCTCGGTGATTTGCATCTACAGGCGGCTCTCCTCCTCCTCCTCCTCCTCCTCCTCCTCCTCCTCCTCCTCCTCCTCGCTGACGAGCTGAGTCAGTACTCACTCGGCGAGTCGCACCTGTCAGGCGGAGGTGTTCTCCTTCACCTCGCTGCTCTACCAGCTGCTCGCGCACCAGAAGCCCTTCGCGTGGATGAACGCCGAGCAGTTCCTCGCCGAGGTGCCGGTAGGGAGAGGGAGGAGAGGGGAGAGGCAGGCAGGGAGGAGAGGGGAGCGGCAGGGAGGTGCCGGTAGGGATGGGGAGGAGAGGGGAGAGGCAGGCAGGGAGGAGAGGAGGGGAGGGGAGGGGAGAGGCAGGGAGGAGAGGGGAGAGGCAGGGAGGTGCCGGCGGAGAGGGGAGAGGCAGGGAGGTGCCGGCGGAGAGGGGGAGGAGAGGGGAGAGGCAGGGAGGGAGGAGGAGAGGGGAGAGGCAGGGAGGGAGGAGGAGAGGGGAGAGGCAGGGGGGTGCCGGTAGGCAGGGGGAGGAGACGGGAGAGGCAGAGAGGGGAGGAGAGGGGAGAGGCAGGCAGGGCAACTTCGCACAGCCAGCACGGCGCTAGCGAGCCCGACCCTTTGGCGTACTCGCATACTCACATACTCACATACTCACCATGGCATAGCTGCCGCGCACAGCTCTCATGGCATAGCTGCCGCGCACTAAGCTGTCACGAGACGGCGCCTCTCTCTCGGCGCAGGTTTGCCGTGGAGGCACGCGCTGCCCTTT